TGAAGTTACTCACCAAAAAGGCTTGCACTGTTATTAACTTTTCGAAGAGCGTGGTCGGTCGTCCATTTTCAAAGCATTGAATGCCGAAATTCAACCGAAATTTTAAATGATTGACTGAGCTAGTCGGCATTGGACTGATCTGATTTTTTTTCCGTTGTCTCAGCCTTTTGGCAGATGTTTGTGGGGCTTGACGACCGCTGGCGTTACGCGCCGTCACGTCTATGGAGGATACTTTTAGCTTGGCCTCCCCTTCGGGTGTTTTTCGCGGGGCTCTGTCTGCTCGGATTTCTTAAGCTCATTGTGAATATCTTGTCCTGGTCTTGGTGCTTGTAATGATGTAGGGCTTTATAAGTCGTACAAAAATGCATATGCTTGTAGATAGAGTTAGCATCTGAATACTATTCCTCACCTCATGGGAATACCTTGACTTTTTTACACATCTATCCACAATGGCCATGTAGGATCTGGGCATAGTGCAGCCCTCCACTAGTTCATGGGTCGTCCCTCTGCATATGGTTTTCAAAAGGCCTCTCACTGGCTGACGCCCACACGATGATTTCCGACGACTGACCAACAGTGCTGTCCCCAACAAATGTGTGATTCCCAACCTCCATGACTTTTCCTCTAGCCTAGCCGGCGCAGCAATCGTTTCCGGCATTGATCTAGCCAAAGTCCTCTTTGCTCCAGAACACATTCCCAAAACGGAGATTACTGCTCCATCTGGTTTCCTAGAGTTCGTTAGGATGTTTTTGGCCTTGTAACTCTGCCCAAAATGTTCAGTGTTTTACTACCGAAGTCCTCCTCCACTTACCCTTTGTTTTTGTTCAGGACTTTGATCTTCTAGTGACAAGTTCCACAGAACGTGGATATCTACAACATCTGTGTCTCATTTTTGAACAATTGAGCCAGTATGCCTTTTTCACCAAAGCCTCTAAATGCGTTTTCGGCGTTCTCTCGTTCTTGTTCCTAGCACACCACGCGGGCGCTGTTGGTTGTCACCCCGTAGACGCCACAGATTCAGATATTCCTGAGTTTCGTACTATCACTTGCTTCCGACAATTACGCCGTTTTGTAGCCTTGTCGATTTTTGACGACGCTTCATCCCCCATTGCCCTCAAATGATGTTATCCCTCACTAATCCTTTATGCGGCAACAACTGTCAGTTTGCTTTTCTTAACACAGCCTTAAACGCTATCCAACGTGTCAAAGAGACTCTTGTGGATAAAAGTGCCCTTTCTCACACTCTAGTTGATGCCCGGCTTTCCAGTGCTGCAGAAACCCAACTGTGCCATTGGTGTAGCCCTTCAGCAATAGGTCGCAACGGGCATCCAAACCTTGACTGTCTACTCTGCCAACTTGACACCCCTACAAACTGGCTACTGTATTTTTGGTAGAGAACTTCTTGACATTTATCTCACCAGATATTTTTGCATTTACACTGACCACAAACCTCTTACTCATGCCTTATCCACCCCCCTCCCCCTGACAAGTACTCACCCCCCCTCCTCAGAGGTCCACTAACTCGATTTTATTTTTCACTATACCACGGATATTCGATATCAGAAAGGCCCATCAAATCAGGTCGCCGATTGTCTTGCCCGCCCCGGAATAAATGCCACTGCCCACCCTTCCGCCGACTTAGAACTTATCGCCGAACTGCAGCGACAGTCGAATTTGACTGAGCAACGTGGGCATACTAGCTTTCAGACCAAGCTCATCCCTTTGTCCGTCACCTTCGGTGCACTCTTGTGTACCGTGCGCGCGGTTCCTCCCATTTTTTACTTCCTAACTCCGTCCTCCGGGGAGGTTTGTGTTGTAGTGAAAAAAGCGTCTTGTTTTGGTGTGCTAACATACGCTCGTAAACGAAGACATAACTTTCGATAACGGTTCAACGGCAAACAGCATTTTTATGGCTGATGTTTTTATTTTTATGTGCCTGGCGTATAAAACTTGGGGACTTTTGTCTTTTACATTTAACTTCTTCCGCTATCTTAATAAGCGAGGCAAGAACCAAGTGAACAGACGACAGCCAAAAGAGCATCAGGTCGAAACCTGGAGGCCATTTGTTAAATAAAAGGGATGCCTGAGACTGTCCCTGGACTGTTGTAAGACGCCGGAGTAGGTCTAGCCCATCGATCCCAGGCAATAATTGGTCACCATGTGATGCAACTTAATAACAGACTGCCCCCCAGTGAAACCTCGGCAGTTATCTACCAAATATGTTAAACTGATGGAACTGCAGCTACCTCGGGGAAACTGGACGGGGATTGCGGATCCGCCTACACGAGCACAAACCGGCAACTCGGAGGCTGGACCCAAGCTCGCAGCTTGCAACACATGTTGGAGAAGCTGGACAGACTTTTACCGTAGGCCGAGGCACCTCAAAAGCAGAACGACTCAAACTTGAGATAGGGTAGTCAGATACCAACTCTGTCAACAATAAGCTTGACCTGTGTGCAGTTTACAAAGTCCTGCGTCATCACATACCCCAAGACCAGGATAAGACGATCACGCTGAGATTACGAAATCCGAGCATACACGGCCCCGCGACAAACTCCCCCGAAGGCAGCCACTAATTAAGACATCTCGGTAGAAACTGGACTAAGGCTCCCCAGGATTCATGTATGTTCTCCATGAGTTTATTGTATAATCTAGTTTTTAAAATTTGAAACAGTCCCACTTTGCAGGGCTGGTGTTTCGTGACTTGTCCTACCGGTCTTCGCTTCTGCATCTTTGCGAGTTTCGTTTTTAAACTTTAAAAATGTCAGAACATGTTTGGTAAGGCTTTGGCAACTATCAATCGTGCCTTATCACGCCATGGCTATTCACGCACAACCATACCGGTTGCATATTTCAGTGTAATTAATCCTCACACCGGAATAAGGCCGATAAACGAAGGATTCATGATCTGATTTAAAAGGGAAATTGCGTTCATTCTGAAGCAACCCTTAGGAGTTACGTACTCAAATTTGCCATCGGATCCTTCGACTTGAAGGTAGGGTTTGTAGGTAACTTGGTCACCCTAGAGGCATTATTCATCTGGTGTTTGTCACTGTGTGGTTGACAGAGGCACCCAATGTTCTTATTGATAGCGCGATAATTCTTACGAATCACGCGATTATATTCTTGTCTGAAATGTCGCCATGGCTTAAGCGGTTATGCTGCCTACCTCCATCGGTCCTCAGGCTTCCCACCCGTCGTCCCACCTGAAAAAAAACCCTGTGATGTTCGCCAGTTTTTATTTTTATTTCTTCCTACAGCCGTAATGGACTATTCAGACATATGGGCTCTGCGATCCCCTATCTGATTCCGCCACCCCCAACCGTCTTTATAAAACCAGTCCTCTCCTCAGCCAAGTGTGTGTGTGTCTCGTATGCTGTCTAGACACTGTCGTCATGCCCTGGCCGTCTAGACCAAACACGACGATTTGTTATTAATGTGACTCTACTACAAATAGCAGATGGTGGGAGTGATGGGGGCGGTGGAGTGAGGAACGATAGAAGAAAACACACCCACAGACACACAGACACACACGCACACTTGCACTTTAAGTCTCACGTCATTTTCAGCATCACATGAGTGTCTGTGCGACATTGGGATTTGTAATGTGTGCGCTCCTCCTGGCAGACGAGTATGTGGAACGCCCGAAGGTGTTCTCCTTTCAACCGAGAACTTAACAGCCGGGCACTATCTTCAAATGCGGTCAGGCACAAAACTTGACAACTTGACTTCTATCACATCGTGGCAGTCATCAGGGCAACCACCTTGTCTACCCTGTAAACCTTCTTGAAACCATTTCGGGGAAGCGGCGGGCTGAAGGTCTCAGTCTAAGCCTTCGCCGGTTAATCATTGGCATTTGAGAGAACTCATTCACGACTTTAATAGACTTTATTCAAAGATTAGAAAATCTCGTGGGCTTTATCATTCATTAATCTACAGCTTCAAGCGTAAGAGTTTACTTCACAGAGTGTAACCCCACTGAAAATCACGTTCTATTAGATTTATTTTCAAGGCGGCTTAGCAATTTCTATAGTTCGTGTTATAAAATTCGGGAGACAATGACCAAAATTGTTCGATAAACATTTAAAATTAAGACATTTGGTGGGCGAGGTTTCAGCAATTCAAGCATTGATTCGAATCTTGACACAGATCAGAAAACGAACGAGAGGCTTCCGTACTGTTACGCTCTCCGAAACTAGGCTCTATCTAGCGGCGACACCGCAGTAGCCGCCTGTACCGTTGGGACAAACCAGCGGTGTGCATCTCCATTCACGGTAATTATGCTTCCCTCTCACTACCGCTGCCCGCAGGGAGCACCGCATCGCCACCTCCCAGGTGAGTCTCCGTCTGCAACCCCACTGGAGGCCACAAGCACTCAGCAAGGTACTGACCCTGAACCAGGAAGATCTACCTTACCTACGCACTTCCCCTACGCCCTTTACTCTCGCTCTATACCTTTCACTCTATTCTACTCTCCTGTCCCACTGGCTAAAAGCTTGCGGAGCAAGCAATAGTGCATGCAGCGAAGGCTATTGGCCGTTCTCCCATTAAAGCCTGTGACACATCCGGGGGTGCAGGAGAGTCTGGTGCGACAAAGCAGTCCTAATTATGGAGAACACCGCCTTCCCCGCGAGGGGGAGGGCGCTATAAAAGGTGCCGAACACAGAGCTGGGTTAGCGATATTTGCGTGAAGACTGCATAAAATGCGGTCGAAACCAAAGCACGAGACAAAATTGCCTTTCTCTGTCTCTCTCCCTCCTCTACGTCGCCCCACCCTACAGGCTAGTAGGGTGAGTCCGCTCACTCTGACAGCCTGGAATATTTGTTCCCTCCGGAGGAGTAACAGGTCAAACCGAAGGACGGCGCTAGTGGCACGGGAACTGGCTAACTACAAGGTGGACATCACCGCACTCAGCGAGACCCGGCTCTCCGAACAAGGCCAACTGGAGGAGCTGGGCGCGGGCTACACCATCTACTGGGACAGTCGCCCCAAAGCAGAACTACAGGACGCGGGCGTCGTCTTTGCCATCCGAAACGGCCTCATGGGGTGACTGCTGTGACTGCCGCAGGGCATCAATGATCGCTTGATGAGCCTCCGCCTGCCTCTTCAAGGAGGCAAATTCGCCAACATCATCAGCGTCTATGCTCCCCCGATGACCAGCCCTGACGCGGCAAGGAACAACTTCTATGAGGACCTGCAGGCCATCCTGGTGACTGTGTCGAAGGTGAATAAATTGATTGTCCTTGGTGACTTCAACGCCCGCGTCGGCACAGACCATGCTGTTTGGAGAGTAGTGCTGGATCTCCATGGTCTCCAATGACGATGTCCTACTCCTCCTACGGACCTGCGCAGAACACCGCCTCATCTTGACTAACACCCTATTTCGCCCCCCGACGTGAGAGAAGAACACCTGGGTGCACCCTCGGTCACGACACTGGCACCTGCTGGACTATATCCTCGGCTTACGGCGAGACCAGCAGGACATGCTGGTAATAAAGGCGATTCCGGGTGCTGACGGGTGGGCCGACCATCGCCTCGTTCTCTCCTGGATGAGGATTCGCCGACAGCCTCGCAGGAGACCTCAGGGTAAGCGATCCCCAAGTAAGTTGACTATTGCTTTGTTGCCTTTGCCTGCTCACCGCCTCCATTTCAGCAACGAACTAGCCCAAAGGCTAGCCAATCTTCCCGTCACCGCTGTGGCCGTCGACGAGAACGCCTCCGTGGAGAACCGATGGTGTCAACTGAGGGACACGGTGCAGTCAACCGCCCTGGCTGTTCTCGGTCGCGCATGTCGCCAACACCAGGACTGGTTCGACGTCGTTGATGCCGCCATCAGTAACCTACTCGCTGAGAAGAACCGACCGCACAAAGTCTACGTCAATCGCCCCACCGACGACAACAAAGCGGCCTTCTACCGTAGTCGTCACGTTCTGCAACAGCGGCTGCAGGAGATGCAGGAGGCCCGGACAATTTGGAGGGCCAAGGATATGAGGCTCGGGTGCTCCACACTTCGGGCTTGGGTATGGCTGGCTGACGACGGCTAATAAGCCAGAAATGGCCATTCCAGTCTCCTTTCTCTTTGTCGGTAATGCCATTCTGCCTATGTATCATGCGCCGCTGTGCGGCTGCTGGTTGGGCTCGAGAGAGAGCCCGTAAGGCACAACGGAACGAGTGAGTTCCGTATGAACGATCGGTGAGCGCCCCCTACCATTGTATATTCCCGATCGAAAACCGACAGGGCAACGGGCTCGTGGCCCGGTGGATAGAGGCGTGGACTTCTAAACCAACAGGTCGCGAGTTCGAGGCTCGGGTGCTCCACACTTCGGGCTTGGGTATGGCTGGCTGACGACGGCTAATAAGCCAGAAATGGTCATTCGAGTCTCCTTTGTCTTTGTCGGTAATGCCATTCTGCCTAGATATGCGGATCGCAACGAATGGGAGAAATTTTTCGCCGCGATCGAGGCTGTCTACGGTCGCACAGCCAACGGAACTGCTCCTCTTCTCAGCGCCGACGGAATCACCCTACTCACCGAGAAGACGCAAATTCTGCAGCGCTGGGCCTAACACTTCAGATGCAACATCAACTGTCCCATCTTCGACGCCGCCATCGTGCGTCAGCTTCAAGTGAAGACTAGCGTCGACCTCGACCACGCGCCCTCTCTACACGAAATCATCAGGGCCGTGCAACAGCTCTCCAGCAAGAAAGCGCTCAGATCAGACGCGATCCCTGCTGAGATCTACAAGCACAGTGGCCCCCAAATCATGCATTATATGATGGCGCTATTTCAGGAGATGTGGCGTCAAGGAGACGTCCCGCAGGATCTCAAGGACGCCACAATCATCCATCTCTATAAGCGGAAAGGTATTCACCAGCTCTGCAACAACCATCGAGACATCTCCTTGCTAAGCATGGCCGGGAAGATCTTCGCTAACATTCACCTCAACCGCCTGAACCATCATCTGGAACAAGGTCTCCCGCCAGAAAGCCAGTGCAGCTGCCGTCATCGTGGAACAACCTACATAATCGTCGCCGCTTGTCAACTGCAGGAGAAGTGTCAGGAGATGCTGGCCCACCTCTACTATACGATTGTGGATCTGAGGAAAACCTTCCACACGATGAGTTTCGAAGGACCGTGAAAAATCATGCAGAAATTCGGCTGTCCCGAACGATTCACTCAGCTGGAGCGTTGGCTCTACGATGGCATGATGCCGCGGGTCACGGACAGTGGACATGTCTCAGAAGCATTTGCAGTGACCACCAGAGTGAAGCAGGGCTGCGTCCTCGCGTCTATCCTCTTCATTCTCATGTTCTCTGTCATGCTGATGAACGTCCACCGTGACGAACGCCCCGGAATCCGCGTCGCCTACAGGACGGACGGCCGCCTCGTCAATCAGTGGCGGACGCACTTCCAGTCGCGTGTATCCGCAGCCTCCTTCCATGAACTCCACTTCGTCGTCGACTGCGCCCTCAATGCCACCTCGGAAGGGGACGTGCAAAGGAGCATGGACATCTTCGCCATCGCCTGCGACAACTTCGACCTGGCTATCAACACGGAGAAGACGGTGTTTCTGCATCAGTCGCCACCCGACGCTGCCTGCGTCCCACCCCAAATCAACGTGAACGACGTCCAAATGCAAGCCGTGGACAACTTCACTTATGTGAGCAGCACCCTCTCCCGCAACACCAAAATCGACGATGATGTGGCCCACCGGATTTTCAAGGCCAGCTAAGCCTTTGGTTGTTGGCGAAACACAGTTTGGAATCGACACGGTCTCCACATAGGCACCAAACTGAAGATGTACAAGGCGGTCATTCTGCTGACGCTGCTGTATGAATCGGAGATCTGGACAATGTACAATAAGCAGTCGCGAAGGCTGAACCACTTCCACCTCAGCTGTCTCTGACGGATATTGAAGCCGAGGTGGCAGGACCGGATCCCGGACACGGATGTGGTGGATCGGACGGAAATCCTCAGCATCTGCGCTATGCGGAGACAACTACAACTGCGCTGGAACGGCCATCTGGTGCGCAATCGACGACGAGCGGTCACCCAAGCGGCTCTTCTATGGAGATGTCGCCACAGGTTTCCGCCGACAAGGAAGTCAAGTACGGCGCCACAAGGATGCCGTGAAAACATCTCTGAGGCGCCTGTAAATCGACTCGGCCAACCGAGAAGACCTCGTCCGGGACAGATCGACCTGATGGAGAGTAGTGAGGACAGGCCCAGTAATCTGCGTATCTAACCGCGTCATCGTCGCCAAAGCCAAACGAGAATCTCGTAAATCTCAACTGCCCTCACCTCGCAACGCCAATCAATCAACCTACGATATTTGCGAACCAATCCGTCTCATTGCACATCTTTGTACCAACTGCAACAACCGGATGACACCACACGATGTCCCCTCGTCCAACACTGCCTCGTCCCCTACGCCGACAACTAATACTGACCGCACTCCTGAACTCCAACTGCCATCCTCCTCCATCGCCTAAACACTCACTGCGACGGCTTCTGCACCCACCGACACTGCACTCAATCCTGACACACCGACGACCATGAATCTCACCACCGCCTACTCCAGCAATGTGGACTCGCTCCATACCTGTCGTCATTGCGATCGCACCTTCGCCACACACATGACAACCTGGTCTGTCACTTGCGAATCCATCGCACAGAGACTGGCGAACCAGTACCTCGAGCACCAACATACACTCGACGCACCCGCCTCAACTGTCCTCACTGCACCCGCACATTCACTCACCGCATGGGCCTATTAGACCAAAAGCGCGTTCACGAAAACCTGCGGTAGACAACCGTCGGCTAAACCACACCATAACACCTTCCTCCACCTTCATCACACAACGTCACCACCCGCCACAAACATCCACCTGCTATCTCCCACGCAAGTGGGAAGTGTGAGTCTCGGCTCCGTCTCCACACAGCTCCTCTGCTGCATTTGTGATCCGAGTCTGAGACTGTTACGGTACGTCAAGCGCCGTGGCTTAGAAGGCTGCCGACTGACGCTCCAACTCAGTTCATACAGCCTGCCCAGTTGTGTTTGTGTGTTTGTTTGTTTGTGCGGATTGACGGAAAAGTGGGTTGAGGGTCAGATTGAAAAAGCTCCTTCTTAGCGTGACCTACGGCAGAGTTACGCGTATGAGATGTTCGCCGCTCAGCCCCCGTTGTGCGAAATCCTAGTGCTTTTGTTTGAGCGGCCATGTCGTGTATGTGGCGCGCGTATACAAGGTCATTAAATATGTCGGTCACCGCGCCAATTCCCCGCACCTGTCAACTGACCGGCTAAGATAGTGACTGGGGCCTGGTAATGAGAAGATTGAGGTCGACGACTCAGCGCATTTTCCCCACTATAAACAATCTGACGCGCTTGATGCTATCACGGTGTGCGAAAAGACGTGGCTTGGAAAGTTGCCAACTGACGGGATAACCCGGACCTCACAGTCGGCCCTGTGTTGTATGTTTGTATGGAGAGGCTGACTGGTGGTCAAAGTGTCAGGCTGCAATGGTTCCTCCTTAATGTGTCCTTTATGGCATTCCCACTCCTTGGGATCCGAGTCAGGTGTGGCAGCACGCCTAGGTGCGACTTTGGTCGCGCCAGTCCCTTGTGTTGCTGATTAAAATCCTGGTCATTTGCTGTGTGGACCAGGGAGTGTGGAGTGGAACGCCAAGGTGTGGGCTCAACCGTACCATCCACCTGCGTCCTCCCCCGCCTCCGGTCTTTTTGACTCTGTCTTAGCACCGGGCCAAGGTGGGGGAGGAGTAAGTGCGGCCGATGCTGCGCCAGTTTGCTTTCGCTATAAACTAATTCACGTGCAAGTCACCGTGTCTGCTCCCGCTTTACTGTGTAGTATACAGTGGAGATCGTAGGCGACGACGGCCAATGTCTGATTGGGTCACATACAACACGTACCTGGCGTACCTATTTATCGTTGTCATGCTTAAATCTCTTTTCAGAAATTTCACCTTCAATATCAGTATGTATTTTCCCCTATACAGCGTGAAGGCCAAACTTCTGTATACTATACTCTGTCCGTTATTCTTCTAGTTATGTAAACCTAAGGTCCGATGCGAAACAACGTTTTGAGTGATGTTACTGTTGTACTGTTGATTATTGGCGACGGAAAAATCATTTTCTGATTGTCTAAAGCTCATTTTTTGAATTGTAACTCTGTTCGCAGCATAAATCGATGGTTGCAACCCTCATTTGCATAGGCTTTCTGCTCTTGAGAACCTAAATGATTAAGAAACATGACCACCTTGTAGCATTTGGCATTGGGCTGCCAGGAAAGCCACACTGAAATATTTGCACAAATTGTTTAGCCAAATATTCCCCGAGAAACAATTCACGAGTGGAAGAAAAAACGAGTAGCAATTGCCCCTTCTCTTCAGCCGATTCCTCGTGCGCAAAAGGGAGACAACGATCTACAGGAAGGCAGCGGGCGCAAAATATCTTCTCAGTCTTTACGGCAGTCACCGGTTTTTCACAAATAGAGCTGTGTGGGGACACACTTTAAACGGATTTCAATGTATTTTAGTAACCTGGAAGATAAATAACATGACAAATTTACGTGATATGGCAACCTGAACGTGTTTTTGAGCTGATGCCTACGTGTTCGCCCCCGAAGGAGCAAACCGGAAACACCTTCGAGTTCAAAAGCTCAGGTAAATTAACAAATGATGCCTTTGAGCGACCAGGCTTCTTCCTTATTCATGCCAAATATACTGATCAGTTCTGTGCTAGTAGGTTCTTACAAGGCCCTTCCGACCGGCATTGTCGCCCAAGGAATAGGGGAAATAGCTAACTTTCCACACTTGATTACACGACTAACGTAAAATCTAAATAAGGGGGAACGATGGAATCTTTGGCATCCTACGTAGGTGGGTCGAATACAACCTACTTCGGATTCTGTTCTATAAAAAAAATTTCTTGGTCAAATTTCTTCATTTTTTGATTTTTTTGACAAGATGACTCACCGAGGTGCCGAATTCGGCCTCGATATGTTTTTAGCCTAGAAAAGCGTTGTCAGTGGATGAATCTCCCTATTTTTTAGACAGTTCTTATCCGTTCATGTCTGCTTGTGGCTATCGATTCTAGTAGACAACAGTAATTCTTATGTGGTCTGCGAAAATAAAAAGCTCGCGTTCAGAAATCATATGTCCTGGTACGGACTCTAACTCACGCCGACTTCTTTAAGCCCCTGAGCCATCATGTACCGTCCGCTTTTTGTGCGAACGTTCGATATTTTATCGTCTTTAACCTGCATGACGCGTCTGACATAACCTGACTGCGTCCCATGATTAAAGATTTCTACCTGTGTCAACTTCAGTTTTCCATAGTCCGCAGCAACAGGAGAAGCTCTGGGCGTAAACACTTTAGAGAGGGATATCAATACTTCTTAAAAACAAGTAACACAGCAAGATTTAAAACTGGGTTTCTAGAAACGCATTTTAAAGAAAAAACAAGGAGATATGAGCGGAAATACAAAGCTTTCATTAACAGGTGAGGGAAGCATCTTTCTTTCTGTAAACTAGGACACCTATGGGTACTCCCATCTTTAAAACAGTTGCCTAAGGGGACGCATGACGAGTAAGCATGTCGTACCCATGAAGCCGATCGGTAACTCTAGACGATTGTTTAGCAGATCATGAAAATCGCTTTTGCACTAAGCCCCAAAATGTTGTTTTTTATTATTTGGGGGGGGGGGGTGTACTGAAGCACATGGATTGAGAGGAGGCAAACAAACCCTACATAGAACCGCTTTCTGACAACACCGCCTCTATAATGACAGTCGAGTATTTCCGTGGTAAAGTCACTTCGACAGCCGCGTCAGATTGTTTATAGTGAGGAAGAAAGTGCGCTGAGTCGTCGACCTCACTCTCCCTTCCCATTCCCACACCCCAGCTGCTGTCCGAGCCGGTCTGCAGACTGGAGTGGGGAATGGGCGCGGTGTCCGGCATGGTCGAGTGACCATGTCTGCGTGCGCCACGTGCACGACCTGGCTCCCCAGACACACATACACCAGGATTTTGCTCAACGGGGTTGAACGGCGGATCTCTCACTTGCATGAGAGCGCCGTGGAAGGTTTTGCTCCAGAACGTCTCCCAGCCCACCAGTCTGTCACTCCACACAACACAAACACAACAGGACGGATTGCGTGGACCGAGTGGGGGCGTCAATCAGCGGCCTCCCTATCCAAGAGGCTTAACGTGTCGGGATAACCTCGAACTCAAGTCGCTCGTGCAGCAGAAGTCGCACGGGGACCGAGTCGAGATGCACACTTCCCACTTGCGTGGGGGGTGGCAGTTAGGTGATTGCGGCGGGTGAGTGTTGATGTGTGGTGGGATTATGAGGGAGGGAGGGTGGGTGTGATGGCGTGGTGCAGTTGGCAGTCCTCTACCACAGGTGTTCGTGGATGCGCATGTGGCCGAATAGGCCCATGAGGTGCATGAATGTACGAGGACAATGTGGACAATGGAGGCGGATGCGGCGGGTGTAGGTTGATGCTCCAGGCACTGTTTCGACAGCCTCTGTGCGATGGATTCGCAAGTGACCAACCAGGCCCATGTGTGGGGTGAATGTGCGGTCGCAGTGAGGGCAGGTATAGTCCTGGTCCTCATCTCTGGAGACGGAGGTTGTAGGAGTAGTGTCTGTTATTGTGTCAGGGATGTGTGTAGTGTTGATTTGCGTGACAGCTGCCAGAGCGGCCGTCGTTG